TTCACGTTTATGTTAATCACGTTTGTGTTTCTCTGTTACCAGGGGTCAACAAACTTTTTGATGCAGAGTCAGATAGGAAATATTCCAGGTTTTTGGGGGGTCATAGTCTATTGTCAGAAAATTCAACATTGTCTTGGTAGTATGAAAGCAGCAGTAGATAATATGTAAATGAGTGGATGTGGCTGTCTTTGAATAAAACTTTATTTACAAATACAGGCTGTGAGCTAGATTGGCTGTCAGTACTACTGCTTTAAAGTATTCTGTTACAAGAATGTAACATAACTTACCCATTTTACTGTCAGCAGACATTTGGATTTTTCTCCATTTGTGCATGTGTATGTGTGTGTATGTGTATTTATAACTTTATAGATTTCACTATAAATACACTGAAATTTACACATAAACAGATTTGATGGTATTTTTCTTACACGTAAGCATTAGGTCTAATAGGTCAAGAAAAGGCTTTGCAAATAACAAGGAGCTTCTCAAGGTTCTAAAAACTTTGTAATAAGCATCCCCCTTCGTGAAAGAGTTATATTGCTATTTGTTATTACTTGTCGCTTGAAATATAGCCCCTCTATTAAATACTTTGATGATTCATTTCAAAGAACTTCTGTAGTTTCTTACAGAGGAATATCTTTCTTGATGTTATACGGCTGGACCGAACAAAACTCAGTGTATGTAATACTTTTTGCCTGTTTAAAATACCTGAAGTATTTTATACTGGGTATTAGAAAGGTTGATATTACCAGGACCCTGTGTATCTCTCAGACTGACATTAGTCACAAGGAAATGTTGGCAGCCAGTCTTAGGTACTTAGATTTCTCTTTTGGGCTACTCCTGTTGGCCACCCCTCTCTGGCCCCAGAAGGTGTTTGTGAGATTAAGTGTAATGAGAGTGACAGTCAAATTACTGGGAGTCTTTGATATGTTAAGTGCTGATCAAAAAATCAGGCCTGGCCAGTTTGTTCAAGACTGTGGCCACTGTACTTGGAAGAAACTATTGTTGTCTTCTGGACTCATTAGTAATTGAAAAATCTGTTAGACTGAGCCTTCTTGGTTTGTAGGTAGTAATCTATTAATAATAGAATAGTAATCTATTCTGTGGTTTTACTGTTTTATCTTCATCTTTGTTATGTTGTAAATCAGGATGTGAACTAGTGTAGCTTGTTGTTATTTATCCTGCTTTAGACTTAGTGTACTACTATTTAATCTGAAAATGGTGTTTTTTCTTCAGATCTGGGAAGTACTATTATTTCTGTTATATCCCCCATTATTTCTGTTCTCTCTAAATATCTGTCCTAAGCTCCTCATAAACATAGGGAACTTCTCATTCTGTCCTCTCATAACATCTTTCGCTTTGCCAACCCTCTTACTGAGTTTTTGTTTTCTTGACCTATTTTGGGTTTTTACTTGGCTGTTTGTCATTTTTGCCTTTTCTTAAATTATTGGTATTATTTTAAAGTTGGTGTCAGTTTGTTTTGTTCTGTATTTTTTTCCTCTAGCATGGGAATTCCCCCTTTTCTGGGGAGTCAGGTGGGCTCTGGAGATTCTTTCATGGGGTTGCACAAATTCGTGTTTTGATTTGTATACCTGTTTTCTGAGTGCATTTTGCTTGAGAGTTCTGTGGAGGTTGTGGAGACCTCCTTACAGGTGAGTTGCACATTTGTGTTTTCCTGGCTCCTGGCTATTTGCAAGGAGCCCAGGTTTAGGTCTCTGCCTCCTACATCTGAGAACTGAAGCCTCAGCTTCTAACACTTAGCTGTTGAAAACCCAGCCCTAAAATCCCACAGCCATTTCTAACCCCTGTTGGGTAACTTTATATGAATTCTGTCATAGTTTCTGGCACCTAGAAATGTCACCCATACTGGCTTTTGAGCTTGGCTGTATAATTTTTAAAAAATGAATTTTATCTGTAGTTCTCTGTGTTTGTAGTCAAAGAGGAGGTTGGCATTATCTGACCAGAATATATCATAAGTGTGTGGAGTTAGCTAAACTCCTGAAAATTGTATGCAAAATATTGAACTTTCATGTTTCTTAAGGGTGGTTTAGAACCATTATTTTATGCTGAGCAGAAACTTCATTAGTCCCAGTTCTGTCTTTTTGAACACTTTATAGAATATGTAAAATTATTCTTATATAAGATAACTCTTAGAAAACCCTAAGAATGACTGTTAATATGGTATTTCTTCCATTGCTTGGTACCCAGGTCTCTTCTTTTTGTCCTTGACTTGACAGTTTTCTTTGATTGTAGTGTGTGAAGGTAAAATTCTAAACTTTACTCATCTAGTCAGTATACTCAGGATACAGATCCCATAGGCCCTTTTAGCACAGTTTTGATTAGCAATTATTTGAAATCCCTCAAATTCATGTAGTGGACCATTATAGGGGTGACTTATAAAATCAAAAGGCTCATAATTTATGGAAGTAGGAATTTAAAGCTCAGTGGGGACCAAAGTAGCTTTTTCTGTTGTCTTCTAGATTGTGTTTCTTTACTGCTGTGTTTTTTCCTCATTAGTAGCTCTGTCTACAGTCTTTCTTTTCTCCTTGTACATGGCTATCCTGACCTGCCTGTGCATGAATCAACAGGCAGATTAAAGTCTCTTCAAATAAGAGGAGATGGTTGGATTAGAATGGATTTAGTATCCATATATGTGAAGTTGGGGAAGTGTTAGTCAAATAGTGAAAGGGCTGCTCCTTCTTCACTTAAGGTAGTCAGATTCTCTTAGAAAGATTTTGGGACTGGGAAGATTATGCATTGCTGGTGCAGTAACTGTAACAGACTAAGGTCAGAGCCTTTAGCAGCTGTGAACTTTTCCTCCAAAAGGATATTACTCCGTTTAATCGGCACTCTTCTAGAATGTGGTTAGGCTAGCTACATTTACTTCTGTCATAAAACTTATTTATTTTTGCTCTATAAAGATACCAAGAGAATGATGCTTATTGAAAGTTGGATTTACCATTTCTGGCTTTCTATGACCTAGAAGTGCAGTAATAGTCTCTTTACTGGCTACTTTCTGAAACCTGTTTTAGTTCCTTGTGAGCTTACCTTTCTCTGCAAATCCTCCCTGTTCTAAAACATTGAAGAGGCTCAGAATGCAAGTATTAGGCTTAGAGTTTCATGAAGTTCCTTTCTTCCCTTCTTACCAGTGGGATAATCTTCCTCTCTCGATTTTTGGTGTTGTGTAACAGACAGTTGAATGATGTCCAGTGGTGGAAAACAATATGCATGTGTAGATCATTCTGTTCTCTAAGTCTTTTATGTAATCACTAGGGCTTCAAGAATTATCTTGTTAAAAGTCTGTGAAAATGCTGGAGCTAGTCTTGGAACCTATGAAATAGGGGAGAGCAGCTAATTCTTCATTGGATTTGCTTATTTGGTTCTGATGAAACCTATTCTTACTAATTTTATCAGAAAGTACATTTCTTAAAAGGACATTTTCTATTTTGGGAAATATGGAAAGGGCACTTTTCCTGTATATGTTGGCTCCCTGATTCATTTCTCTCTGTTGTTGTAGAGACAAGCTGTGGGGAGTCTGTGTATCTATCCTGGCTCTCCTGCCTCGAGTCCTTAGGTTGATGCTGCAGAGCCTGCGAGTAAACAAAGCTGGGCCTGAGGAGCTGCCTGTTGTGGGCCAGATGCTTCGCCTGCTGCTTCAGCATGCACCCCTCAAGACTCATATGTTGACCAATGCCATCTTGGTGCAGCAAATCATCAAGAATATCACGGTAAGAAGCATGCAATGAGAACTTGTACAATTCATGGGCAAGGCCTGGGAAGTGCTTTTGGGAGGCCAGGTTCTTGTGCATTGGCTGATTCTCAGAATTAATAATGGTTGGAAAAGTTGTAGGCATCAGTCATTACTACCTGAATTCTGATGCAGACTCTATTGACGAACCGTGATAGTTTGGCAAGTTTTTCTAAATCTATCCAAGATTATTTTGCCTAGCTGTAGAAATGGAAATAGCAGTAACTTCATTTGGTTTGGATGACCATTAAATGAGATCATCCATGTAAAGTTTTTAGTGTAGCTGATTTATTAGGTTCTTAATAAATGTTAGCTGTCATTAAGAAATTTACTTGGCAGGAATAAACTTTAGGTCAATTTCTAGTTACTTAATTCACTGGAGAATAAGGAGAAGTTGAAAGAAGGAATTTGTAGGCTCCTGCTTTGTCTAGTAGTTGGTTCTCTGTTTTGTGCTGTGTCTGTTTCGTGGGAATCCTTTGGTGTTTTTGGTTTGGGAGAGTTGAAGAGAGGCTTTTTGTATAGATGTTGTGGGGGTTTTATTAATTGGTATAAGTAGTAGTACTTGAGATTAATAGAGTGTGTACATACATATAACGTAGGTGCTCAAGATTTCCTTAGTAGCCTTGGAGAAGTAATAGAAGAAGCAGAATAATTCAGTAATAGAAGAGAAGAAAAGTCAATTTGGATTATTTTGAAGTTGGAGAATCAGCCTACCTTCATAAGGAAGAGAATGACAAATTGTCAGTTGGCCCTGTAAAATTACTCTGTTAATGTCGGTGCAAAGATTGTGAGACTCTAAAATACCAAGGGGAGGTGGGGAGGTAGTCAAAGGTGTAGGAAGGGTTGATGGTGAAATTTCATTAGTCCCTAGCATATATGGGAGTGAAACAGACCAAACAAGAAATAGTAGCACTTGAACTTGAGGCTGTAACTTGGAATTTTCACGGCCTGTGGTAATGCCCAGATGATAAGGCTCCCCTTCCCAATAACATTTCCTGTGGTGGTTTATAGATGAGGATGCTCTTACAATGGCTCTGAAATCTTTCTTGTGAAAAACATTGTCAGATGGTTTAGCAATTTTGATAGAATTCTCAAGTTACTCTTGTTTTTCCCTACAGACTCTGAAGAGTGGAGGTATTCAGGAGCAGTGGCTCACAGACTTACATTATTGCTTCAATGTGTATATTATGGGGCATCCCCAGGGGCCCAGTGCATTGAGTACAGTATATTGAAGAGACATCATGACACCTCCTGTTTTAAATTGTTTATTCACAGCTATCTAATTTTGAAGAGAGACTGATGTAATAAATGTTTGTCATTAAAGGTAAACTTTTAAAGAAGTTGTTCATGAACCTTCGTTGCACTAAGGTAGGAAAATAATGCATGCTGGTTTCCTGGACTAGCACATGATATAAGGTTAGAGGTGTTGGTTTATTTTGCATTTCAGAGGAACTAAATATTTACAAAGTAGAGTGATAATATGATACTTTCTATTATTTACCAAGAAATGAGTGGCATCTTTGTGTTCTCAACTCCAGTTCATTCAGATGGCAACAGACACCAGTTTTTTATTTGGGAATGGTTATGCTTACCCATCATAACATTCAGCTTCTCACTATGGAGGTCTGTCACAGAGGTGTTCTAGCCCATGCAGGGGCAGATTTCAAAATGGTGCTATATAGTTCTTTTGGGTTTTCCCATATCTAAATGGTGCTTGACTGATATAAATAACTTTACTTTCAAAATGATTGTCTACTAAAGATCCATTAGATCCATTAGAGTTCTTTAAAAGTTACCAGCTATGTATAGTGACATATATGACATATATTCATTATGTTCATAATTATAAAGTAACAGCAAGCTAAAAAGAATGATAATTAACACTTTATTGTTTACCTCTTGGCAGGACAGTGGTAATGATAATCTTAAGAAAATGGAAGCAATCCTAGAAGTATTTGTGAGCCTAACATGTTACTGTTTGTGCTTCCTGTCTATATTCCTGTAGTAGCCTTGCCCTTAAAAATGTGAAAAAGCCCGCAATCACTGGATTTTATTTAAACCAGGTATTAAAGGGCTGGAATGTAAACAGTTAGCACAGTTTTCCCTGCCAGTAGGAATGGCATTTTGACAAGATTGTTCACCTCTGCAGGTCAGGCAGAAAATACAAGTGGAATGTTAAAGCCAGAATTGGTACCTTGTGCACAAACGGTCTGGTTTGTAAATCTGCCTAGCCTACATTCCGAGGCTAACATGGAAGCTGTTACAGACCTATTACGATCTTAAGACAGTTTCTAACAGCAAATGCTGAGTCATGATTCTGGTCTAAAATTTAAAACTGATAATGTTGGAATAACAGCAGTGTAGTCACTGTAGTCAAGTCTGTTGCATTAGATTTCATAAAAAGTAGTGAAAGGAAGAAGGTGGCTACTGTAACCCAGTCCCCTCCTATCTTACTTAGGTTCTTCACTGGAGCAAAAAAACCAGGCCTGCACCAGCTGGCTGGCAGAGATCCCAAACTAGCAGCCCCTTTGGCACTCATATTCTTACATTCACTTAGACTGTACTGTTAATTATAAATTCTTTCTAGCCATACTGACCAAAGTGGAGGCAAACTGCAGTTCTGCACAGGCACAGTCTGTCCCAGTCCTTTCAGCACAGACTAACATAATTTACAAAACAGTGCTGTGTAAGATCAGACAGAACACGTTCTGACTTTTCTTTCAGTTGTTACATTTTCACTCTAATAGGGCTTAAAGCATGAATATTAACATTTTCCCAAAGTCTAAAAGATAATCAGCAGAGAATTAGAACTCTGTACTATCTATTACAGCTTCCCTGGACACAGTTTTCCTCCATAGGCACTTGAAGCTTTGTTTTGTTTTTTTGGTTGAGTGGATGACTGCAGGTTATAAGAAAAATTCTTTGATCTTCCATTGTTCTCAAGGAGGTGCATACACTGCAAATTGCTCACTGTTAAAAGCAAATACGAGAGAGATATTCAGGTTAATTTTAATGCTGAAGAGTTCATTGGGAAAAAATGGGTTTATAGTTGGACTATCCATGGGGGCTAAAAAAGGTGATGGCTAGTTTATTATGGAGACAGGATGGCTTATCAGCCTTGCCTTTTCCATCATCTCAAGATATGAGACACCTGTTCAAGGGAGAACCTTGATTGGGAGTGGGCAACCACTTGAGCTGGGACGGTAACCTAGGTCATCAGTCTGCTTGGAATAACAATAACTGGTATGTTACCTTTCTTTCTATGTATCTAACAACACACCTTACATATATACATACATACTTTTATACTCCATTCCAGAAAATAGGTTCATTTGAAACAATTCAGATTTTCAAGGGTGACTGACTGATAGGCATATCCAACTTGAAATGGATTTTTTAGACTTGGAAAACCATGATATCCTCATTTGACAAAGGAGGATACTGAGGCCCCAGATGTTTAAGAAACTTTGCTAAGGCCATAATGCTGTATGTTTATTCTAACATTGTGTGGAGCAAAGAAGCAAACATGAATGGTGAGTAGTTTTAGGAAGTTATAAACATGTCTTACTTTTTCTCCCCTGGTTTTATTACTGTTTAAACTTAAAAGTTATTTCAAAGTGAATTATTGTTTTAGAACTCTGGTGTACTTTTGGCTGCCTTTACTCTGTGAAGTCTTAAGTTGTTATCTGTATCCCCCTCTGTAGGTGGGTAGAATATTTTGCGTTCATACAAGGGGTTGCCATTACTAATAATCACTTGAACTATGATTATTCCATTCATTGGGATGGATTTTTTTTTTAATGGGAACTCTTATTTTTAAGGAAATGGGCCCCAGATTTAGATTTTACATATATTTGTGTGCAGGTACGGGTGTATATATATATACACCCACACTGTGATCATTAGAATGCTGTTACTCTTTGTGGGTGGTTTGCACAAGTCACCATAGAAGAGGGGAGAGAGCAGGGATTTTTTAGGTAAACAGTCCAAGGATGCTGTTACTTTGCTATGTCCAACTCTCTGCTTCCTCTTTAAGAGGTAAAAGCACTACTAAAGCCTCTCCCCAAGTTGGAGGTTGGGAGCAATAGTCTTCACTCAAAGGAGTGCCAATGAGTCAAACTGTTTACCTAAAACCGAATAGAACAGTGAGTAAAATATGATCCTTAACTCCATGGAATTTTCAGAGCCAAAAATGAATTTTATTCAAGGTAGAGACCAAAATCAATGTTCTCTTATTATTGTTTCAGTTTGGCATGTGTGAATCTATATTGTAGAAATACTGTGTGTTCAAGTCATGCCCATTGCTATGGAAATTATTATATAGACATGTTTTCTATATATATATGTATAAAGTACATACAGGCTAGTAGCTCTGACTGACCATCAGCCTTACTCACAAGTTAATGCTTAGTGTGTGGGTAGGTGGTTCTAACAAAACCTTGTATTCCTCCAAGTTTAGAGTTAGGAAAAGATTCTCTTCAGTCCTTGTCTGTTTTTAAGCCAGTGAGAATTATATATGCAGAACAAACAAGCTATCTTCATATGAAGTCCTAAGAACTTACAGGACAGAATAAACAAATTCAAATACTTAACTGTGAGTCCTTTAACTAAAAACTTTTTATGCTGCTAAATACCTTCAGTTTAAGTTTTCTGATAATCCTGGAGTTTTTTTCTCTTTAGACAAAGCAGGGAAAATGGTCTGATTATCTAAATGCTACTTCTCTGGTAGTTTAATCTGACACTTTTTGAAACTACTTCTCAATTTACTCAAAACAGGTTTGTTTTTTTTTTTTAACATAGAAACTGAAAGGAATCAAGGCCTACAGTTCTAACTATGCCCGTTGCCTCATCAACCTGTCTATATTATATGAGTTGCCCAACTCTTATTAAAGATATGGCAAGTAATTACTCTGTCCCCCACCTCCAGGTTTTCCCCCTATCAAAAATTAAATGAATGTTAAAGTTCATGCTGACAGTCATTGTTCACCTTCCCAGCTGCACTCTGTTCCTGCAGGATGACTGGATCGGGGAGAGAGTGGGGGGAAGGCATGTTGCCATAGCCACCATGAGAAACAATGGACCTGGCATTAATTGCTGACAGCACTGAACTTATCACACAAATTTAATGCTGGTGTGAATGAAGGAGGCCCTGAGTAAAATACTCTTGTCTTGCAGCTGAAAAGTTCCCTGAGCTTCTGTATGAGTGAAAGTATACCCAACTGAGCCTGAGCTGGACATGTTCTTAAATATTAAACATCCTCCTATGTGGCCCTAAAAGGCTAAAGCCAGAATTTGTGGTTAAAGGACTTCTCTTTGGAAATGAATTTGAGGATCTTAATGTGAAACCAAAATGGATTAAGAACTCCAAAGGTATTGCTTTGAAGAATGACAGTTTTTTTCATTTCCCCCTTTGCTTTATGTGAGCAAATATCTAAAAGTGATTAACAGTAGATACCATTTATTTCTGCTGGACGTAATGTCAGCAATTATAGCTTTGGTTTTGTAAGAATAGGATAACTTACTCTTATGGAGATAGACATTGACTGCAGTAATAAGTCCATGAAAGGGAGATAAAAAAAACATGCATACCTGAAATCAAATGACTGCTGGAAACTTGGCAATTTCTGTTGTAATCTCTTCTTTTCAAAAAAAGGGAAATGTTTTCCTAATCTGGTTTGACAGTTTTTGGGGAAAATAGGAGTTCCTATGGCCAGGATCCTCACCTGAACCTAAACTACTTGATGATGCAACTGGCCTACTGCTAGGTTACTGCTTCTACACCTGTAGGCAACAAGCGATTATTGACTGAGTCACTATATAAAGAGCTCTTCCCAGCGCTCTGGGCAGAGGTAGATTACAGACCTGCAGACTGTTGGATGCAGATACAATTCTAGTGCTTGACCTATCGCAGGGAGAACAAGCTGGGTAATAAACTTTTTTACCCCCAGAACTTTCCATTGTCATTCCTTGGTCTCACTGAATCCGTAGTGAACTTGCCTGGGGCTGAAACCCATTGGCAAGACATGATTCAGTGGCTTCCTTACCTGAATTGAGATGCAGCACAGAATGGGCTTTTGATGATCTTGTAGGATGAAGTACTTTCCCTTCCTGAGAACAACCTGAAATCAACCAACAATGATCATTGTCTCTGACCACCACAGCTACATCCTGAACAAGTTCTGAACTCCTTATTGAGGTAAAGATTTGAGCTTGTGGGTATCTGCCAAGATTAATTAGGTGTGGTGTGGAAATACCATGTATGCCTAGGATAAAGTTCTGAGATTTTGCTGCCTGGGATGCAGATCTGTTTCTAAGGGTAACTTGGCTGAACTTTTTTCTATTGGGGAGCTAGTCAGCTTGTACTCTGCCGAGTTTATTTGGGTGGGCCCTTTCCAGAACTGAAAATGTTTCAATTTTTGCAATTCATCTGTTGAGCAAGTACTTACTGCAGTGCATGGGTCTAAAGCATTCCCACAGGTGGTTAACCCTGCACTGTCTTAGCATAGGAAAGGTCAAAGTGAAGCAGGCCTGGTCTGAATCCTCCAAATGCGTAATGTAAGGGGAGGACCAAGGAGCTATCTGGAGAGGTTTAAACAGTGAGTCTTTTAGTCATGAAACCTAGTAGGGATCTCTTGGCTGGAAGGCTGCCTTAGTTGAGATGCCAGAATGCCTTAAGCCAGTTCTGACCGAGAATTGCCAACAGGGAGGCATTGATGTGCTGTGAGAATTCTCTTGGTGCCTGGAAGTACATTAAGAAAGTTCCTACTTAAATGGGGTTTGCCCAATAAAAGTAAATACCATTTCAGATTCTGATATAACATGTTCTGGGGGTATCTGTTGTGCCCAGAAGAATAGTTACCGTAGATTTGCTTGAGTACCAAGTGCCTGGTGGACTTTGTGCTTGAGTTGACCTTGGAAGGAGTCTTGGGGGTCCAGCTTACTGTGATTGTCTTTGGGAGTTTTAGTTCCAGGTCCTTCTTCCACACCTGGAGGAGCAATGCCATGCACTCTTGATTCCATTTGTCTACATCTCTGGCTCCATGCTGCTTCATAGACAGAAGGCAGGACAGATGCTTCCTAAGCTGATAGCTGGGTAGGGTGGGGTGGGGGGAGGTAGTGTTAGAGGAGGGTAGAGGCTTTAAGATCACAGAACTGAGTAAACCAAGTTTTCTTAAGGTTTCTAGAAACCTTGATAAGCAGTATTTACTGAACTTCTGGGAGATTCATTCAAGCTCCCACTCCTAATTCCAGTGGCAGTATGCTGAATTGTGTTCACTTCCTGAACCTCGGAATCATCAGATAACACTGTCCTCAGGGTGAGAGAGACCAATGTGTAAACAAAATGAGTGCAGTATAAAAAGTGCAGGAGTGAGGAGCTAGATGGCATGAGACAGGTGTAGGACTGAAAACTGGTGGTTTGATAAGGCTTTCCAAGGCTGATATTTTTGCTGGGTTTTAAAGGTTGAGTAGGAGCCTACTAGGGCAGAGAAGGGTATTCTAAGCAGCACAATTGGCATGAGGAGAGATGTGGGCATTTGTGCTGGAAAGGAGGTAATGAGTTGTGTATGAAGCATTGTATGTTTGGTGAAAGAAGGATAGAAGGCTGGGCTACACTGTGGAAGAAGCCAACATTTGTTCAGGGCCTGTTGTATACCAGGCTCTTTCCCTGTGATTAAGCCTGAAAATAAATTTGTGAGGCAGATATCATGAGTCTGATAAAAGCTGAGTAGAGATGATGTCACCAAGATGGTGACACAGTGGTTCTTGTGAAGGGGTGCAAAGTCAATAATGTCTTAACAACTATTCATGTACACCACTGAGAAAATCCTAGAACATGGGGTGAGGCTGAAAGGCGCCTTGTGCCACAGAGACCAAGACTGCCTAGAAGGGTAAGAGGAGCAGCTACTTGCTGATCACATTGTTCCTTCCCCAGGGTAGCACAGCGCCACACCCCCAACCTTACAGTTCCTCCAGTGGGAAAAGAGAGCCCAGGGAATCAAGCTTCACCAGCACTGTGGGTCACTTCTTGGGATTCCCCACTCTAGTTTTGTCCCATGGGTACTGCCAGGGAATCTTTGGGGTTTGACCACATGAAGTCTGTGGAGAAGGGCTTGCCACAACCAGTGCATGGATTCTGATAGATCAAGTTCCACCCTGCAGCACTGTGTTCATCTGCAGGGCCAAAATGGTGGCAGTCTGACCCAGGGAATTTAGCAGGTTACAGACCTGCCTGGTTGAGGTCCTCAATCAAAGAGTCTTGTTGACCCTGGAGCCTGGTCTGCTTCTGTTTCAGCAGGAGAATTAATTCACAGCCCCACTCACTGTTGAGTACAGATCCCAACCCACCTGACCAAAAACCTTGGTTGGAACACCTGGAAAGCTGCATAGTCCAGCAACACTCAAGCAGAAGGTTTAACAGGCAGAGCTGATCATCTGCAGAGCAGACAGTGGCTGTCTTTGGCCAGGGAACATGGGGTGAGGGTTGGCATGTGTCAAGACCACAGAGTCTTTCTGGCTTTGAAGCTGGTTCTGCTTCACCTGGGCAGGGAAAGTATTTTGCAGACCTAGCAGATGCTCAATACAACCTTCATCCTATGGACCAGAACTTAACCATAGCAAATGGGAAGTGATATAGCCCATCCAACAGCCCATCTTACATTAGCACTTGAACAGAGCCCAGCCTGTTACTAGCCCCATCTGGAGAGCAAGACTGATGGCCCCCATCTTGCCAGGGGATTCAAAACAGTCCTGCCTGATTTGGGTCTCCAAACAACAATGTACAGCCCTGGGGACCATTCTATTGTCAATACCACAGGGGCAGAGAAGCTAATTCATCATCCCATCTACTGCCGTGTAGTACCCTGTCATGACCATCTAGTATGCCTGACTAGAGAACCCAAGCAACTGCAGAGCCCATCTACGGCCTCACTTGGGCAGAGAACAAGCCAGCAGTCCTATCTAAATGTTCTCAGTGAGTGGAACACTGCTGGACCTTAGAGCTTAAGCAGTGGCCTTGCCCAAAAACAGACCCTGATAGCAAGCTCTACCTGCTCAAGCACATTTAACAGTGTACATGTTCAGAAACCCAACCTGAGCTAATTGGTAAATGGTCTCTGTCAAAGTGAACTTGTAAAGGATGGAAGAGGAGACCATTCACTCAAATGGACAGATACTAATGTAAGGAATCAAGGATCATGAAAAATCAAGTAAACATGACACCACCAAAGAAACTAATAGAGCTTTGAAAATTGACTGTAAGTATAAGAAGAATGAAAAACTGAAGGAACAAAACAGCAGAATCACAGAACCCAAGAATGAACTAACAGTTACTAAAGGGAAAGGGAGGGATAAGGGCAGGGAAAAAGAAAGGGGGCATTATGATTAGCATGTATAATGGGGGGGCATGGGGAGGGTTGTACAACACAGAAGACAAGTAGTGATTCTACAGCATCTTACTATGCTAATGGACTGACTGTAATAGGGATTGTTGGGGGGCCTAGTAAACAATGTTCTGCATGTAATTGTAGATTAGTGATAACAAAAAAAAAAATGAAAGTCTTTGAACTGCCATAGAAAGAATTCAGAATAATCCTCTTAAAGGAGTTTGGTTAACTATAAGAATGCACAAATTAAACAACAACATTAGAAAAACAATGAACAAAATGAGAAGTTCAACAAAGTAGAAACCTTAAAAAAAAAATCCTAGAGTTTAAAAATACAGTGACCAAACTGAAGAATTTGATGAAGTTCAAAACCAGACTTGACCATGGAGAAGAATCAGTGATTTGAAGACAGGATATTTGAAATTTTTTTTGTTTTATTCCTAACTGGATAAAGAATGAAAAAGTGAAGAAAGCCTATGGGACTTACAGGACACACTCAAAAGAAAAAATATCCACTTTATGGGAATTCCAGAAGAGGGAGAGATTTAAAGCAATAATATGGCTGAAAATTTCCCAAACCTTGGGGAAAGAAGTGGACATCCAGATCTGTAAGACCCAAAGGACTCATAGAGAACCTAAATAGTGCTACATGAAGACATGTTATAATTACCAGGAATCATAGAATTTTGAAAGCAAGAGAAGTTACATACAAGGAAATTCCCATAAAATTATGAATGGATTTCTCAACAGAAACTTCTCAGGCCAGGAGAGAATTAGGTGATATATTCAAAATCTGAAAGAAAATGTCAATCAAGAATGCTACATCTGGCAATGCTGTCCTTCAAAAATGAAAGGGAGATAAATACTTTCCTGAACAAGCAAAAATTGAGGAAATTCATCACCAGTAAAGCTGCCTTACAAGAAATGCTAAAAGGAATTCTTTGACTGGAAGAAAAAAGTTAACATCAATACATACAAAGACAGCATAAAACTCACTGGTAAGGATAATAATGTAGTCAGAGTTAGATTCTGTAATATGGTAATGGTAATGCATAATTAAACATAACTCCAGTTTAAAAGTTAAAAAACATGCAAAAATAACCATAACTGATCATTTTATTTTGATACACAATATAAAATTATATAAACAGTCTAAAATGTGAGGGGGTGGGGAGAAATAAAAGTGTAAAATTTAGGAATGTTACTGAACTTATAGTAGTAACATCCTATTTTAACTGATTTTATGTAAGCCTAATGGAACCACCTCATGGTAAAAGCATTACTAATTACAGAGAAGAACAAGATAAAGTCAAACTATACTGATAACGAAAGACTTCAGCAAACCTAATAAAGGCAGCAGGATAAGAACCATTGAAAAATGGATATACAAAACAGCCAGAAAACAACAGAATGGCAATAGTAAGTCCTTACCTATTAATTATTTTAAGCATGGATGGATTAAATTCTCCAAAACACAGAGTGAGTGGATTTTTAAAAAAGATCTGATAATATGCTCCCTGCAAGATATTCACTTTAGTTATCTTTAAAGACAAACAGACTGAAGGTGAAGGAATGGATAAAGGTATTTCAAGCAAGTGACAACAACAAAAATAAAGCAGGGGTAGAGATATCACCTCACATGTTAGGATGGCCAACATCAAAAAAAAGAACAAATGCTGGTCCGGAGGATGTAGAGAGGGGAACCCTCCTACAATGTTGCTGGGATTGTAAATTAGTTCAACCACTGTGGAAAGCAATATGGAGGTTCCTCAGAAAAACAAAATAAATACCGCTTGACCCTGTAATTCCACTCTTAGTAATTTACCTGAAGAAACAAGATTGCTGATTTTAAAGGTTTTGAGGAGGGGAAAAAGATGGCAGTGTGAGAAGTGAGGCAGAAATCTCCCCAAATCACATATAATGTGAAAATACAGCAAATACAACTAATCCTGAAAGAGTGACCTGAAGGAAGACTGCAGCAGATGGCTTACATCTGGAAAAAAGAGAAGACCTAACAGAAAAGGGTTAAAGGAGCAAAGCTGTGATCCAGTGAGACCCAGGCCCTCAACCCACCCCAGCTCACTAGAGGGAGAAAGAGAAATAGAGTGGGGAGGGAGAAGCCCAGGACTGCTAAATACCCAGCCGTGGAGATCTCCAGGAGCACGATCCCACATTGCATGGTGTTCTGGAGATCAGAGGGGTTGCAAAGCAGTGAAGGGGAGAGTACTTGGAGAGACTGAGATTGCAGCCATTTGTTGAGAACAGGTGCCCACAGCCGGCAGCTCTGGGACAAAAAGGCAGGCGATCTGAAAGATTTCCCAATTGAGAGGGATGCCACAGGGGCAAGGATTACACAGAGCTTGCTGCTCAGGAGAAAGCACAGGTGGACAAAGTTGTTCTAGCATACTCAGCCCTGCAGGTTGGGAACTTTTCAAGAGCTTCAGGTGCTACATCCCCCTGGCTGGCAAGGCAGCCCTGAGGCCCATTACCACAATTCACAGCCTGCTGCTCCTACCATAGTGCCAGGCTAGCTAGGGGGCAGCCCCGCCTACAGCAAGTCACTCCCTGTGTGCTTAGCCTACTGGCCTTGGCAGTGGAGGCAGGCACTGCAGCTGGAAAGCAGGAAAGAGCTCTGTCCTCCAGGCAGGCACCAGGCTGCTCTCCTGTAACGCCCACCTTCACTCGAGGGGCTGGGAAGCTCCAGGG